TAAGCCCTAAACCCTAAACCCTAACCCTACACCCAACCTAAACCCTAAACCGGGTGACCCTAGCTCCCGTGCCTCTAGAGGATCCAGCAGTTTGTGCCTCGAGGGATTCGCGGTTTAGGCCTGGGGGTTTTCGGGTTTAGGGTTTTAGGGTTTAGGGGTTCGGGGTTGGGGGTTGGGGGGTTAGGGTTGAGGGTTTAGGGGTTAGGGTTCAGGGGTGTTCAGGATGGATGGAGTGTCGAACCCAGGGTGAAGGGAAGCTAGTTGCTTTCCCCCCAGCCACCGATATGTAGACCCCATGACGGCCATAGGGCGAGCTCGCCGACAAGAAAAGGTCTTCGACATGTGCGAGTTGCGGGCAAAAGGGACACTGGCGTGGTGACGCATGCTGTCCTAACGTCGCCTCGGGCAAGGATGTGCCTCACCAGCCAGGAGCCCGTGGACGCGACGATGCCACCGGAGCTCGACGTGACGATAAGTTTCCAGGTTTTAGGCCTTGGGGCAACCCAATTGTCCCCTTTACCTGCAGTTTGCGTGGGTTGTGGGGTTTTAGATGCCGGGAAATGGGGCGGGCCTGTTCTTCCCAGTGTGGTTTCAGTGCCACCCAGTGCTCCGCACATTTGGTCACGGTCACGAGTGACCTCTTGATGGGATGCCTGTTGCCCTTTAAACCCTAAACCCCAAACCCCAAACCCTAAACCCTAAACCCTAAACCCTAAACCCTAAACCCTAAACCCTAAACCCTAAACCCCAAACCCCAAACCCTAAACCCTAAACCCTAAACCCTAAATGGCTTTGGTTTAGTTTTCGGGTTTTAGGATGTAGGGCTTAGGGTGTAGTGTAGGGTTTAGGGTTTGGAGTGTAGGGTTTTAGGTTTAGGGTTTTAAGGTTTTAGGGTTTTAGGGTGTAGGGTCAGGGTTTAGGGTGTAGGGTTTTAGGGTTTAGGGTTTAGGGATTTGCAAGGTATAGGGTGATCGAGGGAACGCGTGCTGCAGCCATCAGAAAAGAAGCCTTAGGACTGTGCTTCTTTCTGTTGGCTTTTGGGGGGTTGTCACGAAAGCTCCCCCTGGAGAGCTTTCGTTTAATACCGCGTCAGCGCTGGGGCGGAGCCATGGGGGGGTGTGGGGGGGGGCGGGGCTGGTCAAAAAATCCTGACATTTTCGCGGCGTCCCCGGGCGAATTTGGGGCCCAGGGCGGTTGCCCAAAACGGTTTTTTGGAGCATTTTTCGGGTCCTCGGCGTGGACTCGTTTTTATGCCTCTCCGAGGAGAAGCGGGACCGGGCTGATGCTGCTGATGCTCGCGGGGCGGCGTGCTTTGGCGGGTCGCTGCAGGCCTAAATCTGCTCGTCCTAGACACCCCGCGGAGTCTTGGCAATGACCCCTCCCGAAGCCGCAGAACCAACATGCCAAAAAAAAAGGCGCAGCAGGGTCTGCACGACAGTCGCCAATAACTGCGGTCACTCTCGAAGCACCTCTTCAGTTGGTCTGGGTCCTCCTCCCTGTTTGACCCTGTAGCCCAGATGAACGAAGCGAGTTGAGTTTTCTCCTGTTCCCCGCTTGCAGGGGTCCCCACCCTCATAGCTACAATCTGACACACCGCTTTCAACACCCGTGTGTGTCGTCGGTCTGACCTCCGAGCTTTTGGCCGTGTCTGTCTATACACGGTAGGTACACTTGTGTAACTTCCTGTAACTTTGTGTTACTTTTGTGCATGGTGGCTCACTTGAAGCACCGCTTCGCTTTAACCTTTGACTTTGCCACATGAATTGGGTCGGCGCTTTGATCTCTCGGCGCCTGTCTCTTCCTGCTAGCTCCGTGTCCCCAGTCCTGGACCTACTAGAGCTTTCGTCCCAGCCCGTGGCTCTCAAGTCGTTGTGGTGTGTTGCGTTTAGCAAAAACCCTAACCTATCATCGGCACCCAAAGCACTTTCAACGCAAAGCCCTGACACCTAGCGCGTTGAGATCTCGAGCACATGCAGGCCCCACCCCACTGTTCGTAGAACCCTGGTGCAGGTGGCAAGGAGGAGAAAGTGTCCGATCACGAGGAGGCAGGGTCCTCTGTGCACACGCTTCCTCTTTAGGGTCTTGGGGCTCAGGGTTTGGGCAAGCCTTTCCGTGCGGTACGAGTTATGAACTCCCTCCGCACCCTCGTGCTTTCGAGTTCTGAGTAAGAAGTTAGGGGGTTAGGGACCTGGTCTCCGGCAGAAAGAGGTGGGGTCCAAGCTGGCCCAGCTGCAAGATTTCAGTGTGGCAGACTGGCCACAGGCCACTTGAGCAGGACCGAGTGGATGAGCTGATCCACAAGTTCCACCAACACCGCGTCCAGTCCAATTCTTTGCAAAGACGGCGGCTTGAAATTGGCGGACGGCAAGCCAGGGAAATTGCAGCCTTGCTGCAAAGATTGGCCTCGACAGCGTCAGAGTCAGCGAAGCCAGTTTGGGTCTCTGAGTAGCTGGAATCGATCTTTAAGGTGGGTTCCCGTGTGAGCCTGGTTTCTTTCGGGGCCTGAATGCGCGTCAGACCCCGCACCCTTGGGTTGGTCTTCGAAACTGGCCTTGTTGGGTACCCTCCGCTGGAATTGTTTTTGTGGCAAAGCAAGGGCAATAGAGGGCCCCCAAAAGGCAAGTTCCACAAGGGCTTCTCATCTGGATCAACCTCTTCTGAACCCTGATAACTAAATCCCTCAGCCCCTCAGCACCTCAACCCTCAACCCGCAAACCCCTAACAGGTGAGTCCTAATCCCTAAAGCCTACAAGGCGGGTTCTTTGAGTGGTGTTGCTTATAGCTGGGGGTAGAAGCAGCTTGCGATATAGCTATCGCTATACCTGCTAGCTGGGATTTAGGGATTAAAACTCTTCCCATGAACCCTACCTAGACCTAGAGTAATCTGCTGCAAGTGAAGTAATGTCCTCAGGCCCAAAGCCTTCTTTGCAGTCTATCAGGGCCCAGACTTTCCCTAAACATTGAACCCTCAACCGAAGCCCTGAACCCTAACGCCTAAACCCGACCTCCCGAGTCCTCATTCCCGAACCCTAAACCCTCAACCCTAAACCTCAAAAACTCAACCCCAGAACCCCTGGACTGAAGCCGAATCCCGAATCTTCATTAAGAAGAACTTAACCTGAAACCCTCAACTCTCAGAACCCTAAACCCTAAACCCTAAACCCCTAACCCGCTAACCCCCTAACCCCCTAAGCCCCTAAGCCCCTAAGCCCCTAACCCCCTAAGCCCCTAAGCCCCTAAGCCCCTAACCCCCCAAGCCCCTAAGCCCCTAAGCCCCTAAGCCCCTAAGCCCCTAAGCCCCCTAAGCCCTAAACCTCGAGCTGCGCCTCGGAGGACGATCGCGAGGAGCGAGATCGTGGTGATCGAGGCGCTTCCCGATGGTGTTTAGGGTTTAGGGTTTATTTTGGGGTTTAGGGTTTAGGGTTTGGGGTTTAGGGTTTGGGGTTTAGGGCTTAGTGATTAAGGTTTGGGGTTTAGGGTTTAGGGGTTTGGGGTTTAGGGTCTGGTTTTTCGGGTTGAATGCATCGGGTTTCGGGTTCAGGTTTAAGGTTTAAGGCTTAAGGCTTATGGCCTAAGGTTTAAGGTTCAAAGTTCAAGGTTTCGGGCTGAATGCATCGAGTTTCGGGTTTAGGGGTTAGGGTTCCGGGTTTAATCGGGGTTTAGGGTTTGGGGTTGTTAGGGTTTGGAATTCGGGTCTTGGGTTTAGTGTCTGGCACATCAAAGCATCACCGGGGTTCAAGTGTTGTCGGGCTTTGGGTGTTGTTTTTCTCCAGCGCATGGCGGTTTTTTTGACAATCCGGGTCAAAGGCTTTGTATAGGGTTTCAGGGCTTGGGGTTTAGGGTTTAGGGTTTAGGGTTTAGGGTTTAGGGTTTAGGCTTTAGGGTTTAGGGTTTAGGGTTTAGGGTTTAGGGTTTCCATGCATCCCTGCAGTGCCCATTTTTTGTCCGGGTTCAGGGCTTAGGGCTTAGGGTTTAGGGTTTAGGGTTTGGGGTTTAGGGTTTAGGGTTTAGGGTTTAGGGTTTAGGGGTTTAGGGTTTAGGGTTAGAGGTTAGGGTTCAGGGGGTTATCCTCCACAAAAAAGCTGACACGTTACAAGGGGACCGAGTTGCAAAAAGCAAGCACAAACCCTGCGTGAACAAAACAAGGTCGAGGACCCGGAGTAGGCCCTTATTTCCTTTCTTTAGGGTAATCCCATTAAATCCAAAAAGGGTACCCTTTTGTTCCTAGGCTACTCCTGGGTCACCCTAAACGCTGAACCCTAAACCCTAAACCCTAAACCTTGCGTCGCCTTGATCGCGAGGTGAGGGAAGCGTTGAGAAGGCCACCGAGGGGTAGAAGCCTTGAACCCTAAACCCTAAACCCTAAACCCTAAACCCTAAACCCTAAACCCTAAACCCTAAACCCTAAACCCTAAACCCTAAACCCTAAACCCTAAACCCTAGACCCTAAAGTCTAAATAACCCTAAACCCTAAACCCCAAACCCTACCCGTGAACCCTGAACCCTTTGAAGCCTACACCCGAACTGCTCAACTCGAACCCTATAGATGCTCAGCCCTAAGCTTGAAGCCCTAAACACCTTAGGGTTTAGGGTTTAGGGTTTAGGGTTTAGGGTTTAGGGTTTAGGGCCGCTGTTTCGGCTTGTAGGCCCGAGATGGCAGCTCAGAGTCTACCTCGGTACTTGAGGGGCGTTGACAGGGTGCAGGTTGGGATGTTCCCTGTTATACTAACAGTCCTCAAAAGGGTTTAGGGTTTAGGGTTTAGGGTTTAGGGTTTAGGGTATACTAACAGTCCTCAAAAGGGATTATCGTACCCCCTACTACGATCCCCATTAAGGACTGGTAGTAGAAGGGGAAGCATCCCAAGGGGTAGGATTGAGGGTCTGAGGTTGAGAGTTTTGGGCTGAGGAACCATTAGTTAAGGGCTACTATGGGCATATAAAGAACCCCGTACCAAAGCTTTTACTTTTTGCGGCTTTTTTTGCCCGCTGCTATGTAGGGTTCAAGGGAACCCTCCAATTGGCGGGCAGGCTCAGTCTTAAGGGTGTAGTGGCCTTAGAACTGAGGCTCGAGGGTTGTTAAGAGTTTGGGGGTTTGTTGAGGTTTCGGGTTTACGGCTGGTGGCTATTCGGAAGCTCTTCTTCTTGGCCTTGGGGGCCTTTTCCATGTTAGTGTATGGTTTAGGGTTTAGGGTTTAGGGTTTAGGGTTTAGGGGTTGGGGGGTTTAGGGCATGATCCAGGGGGTGGGGGATTGAGGGTGGGAGTTTTGTTTCTCGGGCCCCGACTTTTGGGTTCGTTTACTGGGCTTGACCCTAAACCCTAAACCCTAAACACTAGACCCTAAGCCCTAAACCCTAAACCCTAAACCCTAAACCCTAAACCCTAAACCCTAAACCCTAAACCCTAAACCCTAAACCCTAAACCCTAAACCCGGAACCCTGAACCCTGAACCCTAAACCGTGTCGTTGCGATTTCGGGTGCATGGTCGGTCTGACATGCAAGTACGCAGCGGCTCACTGGACCATAGTTGCTAGGGGCTCCAAGAACACGGGTCCTGAATTCCTACAACCCCTAAACCCTAAAACCCAAAAACCCTAAAAGCCTGAAACCCAAAAACCCTAAAACCCTAAAACCCCAAACCTAAACCCTAAACCCTAAACCCTAAACCCTAAACCCTAAACCCTAAACCCTAAACCCTAAACCCTAAACCCTAAACCCTAAACCCTAAACCCTAAACCCTAAACCCTAAACCCTAAACCTAACCCTAAACCCTAAACCCTAAACCCTAAACCCTAAACCCTAAACCCTAAACCCTAAACCCTAAACCCTAAACCCTAAACCCTAAACCCTAAACCAAAGCCTTTGTCAGAGGAGCGGCGCTATCGCGAGGAGAGGGACGGCCGCTATAGGGATGATCGCGACCGGGATGGCCCCGAGCTCAAGTTCGGGTTTAGGGTTTAGGGTTTAGGGTTTAGGGTTTAGGGTTCAGGGTTCAGGGTTCAAGGTTCAGGGTTCAGGGGGTTGAGGGCTGGAGAGGTTGCAGCGTTAGGGCTTCAAAGGCTTTGGGGTGCAGGGTCTCGGGGTTTACAGTGTACCAAAACCTCTTCTGAGGAAGGTTCCTGATTTCAGAGTAGTTGAATAAACCCTAAACCCTAAACCCTAAACCCTAAACCCTAAACCCTAAACCCTAAACCCTAAACCCTAAACCCTAAACCCTAAACCCTAAACCCTAAACCCTAAACCCTAAACCCTAAACCCTAAACCCTAAACCCCAATTAGAACCCTTTCTGAGGAAGGTCCGTGATTTCAGAGTAGGATCCTCGTCGTTCGAGGCAGGTTCATTGTCAACGGTCTAAGGCCAGGTTGGAACCATGGGGCGCTTAGAGTGGTCACTAAAGAGGGTGCTGCAGGACCTCCAGATCATAGCTCACATGGAGCTTCCCTAAACCCTAAACCCCGTGGCCCATGTCCTGAATCCGAAACTCCAAAATCCTGAAACAGACCCTCAAGCCCCCTTTTTACCCCTAAACCCGATAGGCCCCCAGCCCTGAAATCCTTAAAGCCCCAAACCCTCAGCCCTTAATTTCCAGAGCCCCTAAGCCCGAAAACCCTAAGCCCTAGACCCTAAGCCTATAGGCCCTAAGCCCTGAAATCCTAAGCCCTAAAGCCTTGAAGCCCTAAGCCCTAAATCCCTAAGCCCCAAAACGCCCAAAAGCAGGGCGCCGGGGGTTTAGGGTTTAGGGTTTAGGGTTGAGGGTTGAGGGTTTAGGGTTTAGGGTTTAGGGTTTCGGGTTTGGAGGAACCGGAGCACATCTCCGAGGCGCAAACCCTGAACAGAGCGTAGGGTGAAGGGCTTGGGGTTTTGGACGTTTTTGGGGGGTTTCCGATAAGGTTTAGGGTTTAGGGTTTAGGGTTTAGGGTTTAGGGTTTGGGGTTTGGGGTTTGGGGTTTAGGGTTTAGGGTTTAGGGCAAAATAGGGGTATTTTTTGTGGGGGTTCCTACTATATAAGGATTAGGGTATTTTGGGGGTATAATTAGGGCTACCCCTATTTTGGGAAACACCCTTTTGGTTTTAAGGTTTAGGTTATAGCCCGGGATTGTAGGGATACAGGGTGTAGGGCTCACGATTTTGATACAAGGCCTGGTTTAGGGATTGGGCTTTCTTGGTGGGCTGCGAACCTAAACCCTAAACCCTAAACCCTAAACCCTGAACCCTGCACCCTAGAGCCTAGACCCTAGACCGTAGACCGTAGACCGTATAGACCCTAGACCCTAGACCCTAGACCGTATAGACCCTAAACCCTAAACCCTAAACCCTAAACCCTAAACCCTAAACCCTAAACCCTAAACCCTAAACCCTAAACCCTAAACCCTAAACCCTAAACCCTAAACCCTAAATAACCCTAAACCTTAAAACCCAACTGAAGGTCGGGACCGGGGCCGAGACGGCGGCCGCGAGATGCGCGACGGCCGGGCGCCCCATGCAGGCTCGGGGTCTTTGTTTGCAGGGCGTTTGTAGGGTTTGGGGCTTAGGTTTATGGTGCAGGGTTCAAGGTTTGGAGTGTAGGGTTTTAGGTTTATGGTTTTAGGATGTGATCGTTTTAGTCAGGGCTACAAATCCTACACGCCTTGAGGCCCGGAACACTAGACCTCAAGCAGGTAACGGCTTCCACTGAAGACGAAAAGCCCTAAGTTCAGTTCGAGTTCTACTCGCCGTGTTTCGTGGGGGCCATCAGCACGTCGCGATACTGGCCAGGAGCAGAATTCGCGCATGCCACAAGTATGGTACAGTCTCATTGCCAAGGAGGCTTGGACAATCAGAATGCTTCTACAAGTCATCTTGCAGAAGCCCACAATTGGGTGTATAGTATAGAAACAAGAAATACTGTATCAAGATGCGCAGACGGCTTGTTTTGAGAAGGCAGCCAAGAGACAGTGAGACTATCCCTCTTGATTCATTGCGAGCCCAACCAGTGGGGCTTGTGGCTAGTGATCCCGAGCGATGGATGATGCTCTGGATGATTTTCAGGAGTCCCTAAACCCTAAACCCTAAACCCTAAACCCTAAACCCTAAACCCTAAACCCTAAACCCTAAACCCTAAACCCTAAACCCTAAACCCTAAACCCTAAACCCTAAACCCTAAACCCTTGATTTTCAGGAGTTGCTATTAGCGGCCAAGTTTCAGTGGGAGCTGGGTGCGAGTTCTGGATGGGAGGACTACCCACCGGAAGTGCAGAAAATCTTGTCCTATGCCTTTGCGAGAAGACGTCGTTCAGCTGGAGATCCCTTTTGATGGGGAGATGACAAAGTACAGGGTCGAATTCAATCCAAAGTCGGTGTTCGGTGGCAACTTTTCCTTTTGGAATAATTTTCTAATGCGCGGGAATGTTCTAACGCGCGGGAGCTTCACCCAGACTAACGAGAAAACAGGAAAGCAGCGCAACGTGCGCCAGGAAAGCTTGCATGGCAAGCTGTCCATTCCTAGCTCCATGGAAGCAGTCGCGCGGCAGGGCCAGGATCAACGCGACGGCACAGCACGTGGTATTGCAGATCGCATGCGCGATGGCAAGTTGAGCAAATTTTTTCCGTGCACTTTCTGTCACCGGGAATTCTGCTCGCCTGTGTTCTTAGAGAAGCGTGAGTGCAGCAGTTTTGGTCGACAACCTTCCTCTCGGAAGCCGATGTTGTGGCTTCTGCATCTCGAGGAGGCTCAGCGACAGTCGGGGAGACAGGCAGAGGCCGTGTCAGTGGTTGACCATTGATGAACATGCATTCCGTTTTTGTACTGAGTCACCTATACTATGGCTTTGGGCAGCTTAGTCGGGCCTTGCGTTTGGTTTGTGTTGAAGTGAACCCTACCTAAAGTACACTACATGGTGCACGGCGCATAGCCGTGCGTGGTGTTTCGTAGACTTTTGCGATTGAACATTGCTGGAAGCATGTCAGAAATGCTCGTTTTCAATGAGGTGTCGGGCACTTACAACTGGGAGTCGTTTTGAAAGGGTGCTACTCAACTTGCAGACTCCAACCCAAACCTTAAACAACAAAGCCAAAGATCCAACCCTGAACCCCAAACTTCTATATAAACACCTCACCAAAGCCTTGAAACTCCAGGCAAATTGAACTTCAGATTAAACCCTGAAAGCCCTAAACCCCAAGCCCTAAACTGTGGCGGCGTTGCCAAGGCCGCGACGGCCGCGACGGCCGCGACGGCCGTGACGGACGTGACGGCCGCGGCCGCGACGATCGACGAGGAGACGATCGCGGCTGGGCCGAAGCGTACTTGAAGTTTAGGGTTTAGGGTTTAGGGTTTGGGGTTGGGGGTTTGGGGTTTAGGGTTTAGGAGGTATTTTGGCCTTTCGTAGGTGCAGGTGGGGAGGCGGGTTTGGGGTGAGGGCGTTGAGGTTGGGAGGATACTGGGTGTTCTTTCAGTTGAAGGTTTCTATGGAGGTGACGGCACGTTGATCAGTGTGCTTGGGCAGTTATAAGCATGCACTTGAAGTCAGCCAAAAGCAGGTATATGTAGAGTGTGCTTACCCATTAAAGCGGCATGCAGCCAGGCCGCTTTGACGAGCGCCGCGGCGATAGAGACCGAGGCGGGCTGGCCTGCATCTAGTCCTTACAAGGTGCGGTCCAATCCATAGTTCTCCCTTAGGCTCCCTGATTCGTCCCTGAATACCCTAAACCCTAAACCCTAAACCCCTAAACTTGCAAACCCTCACCCCCTAAACTCCAAAGGACCCTGACCCCCTCCACCCTCGCGAACATCAGGTGGGCGCCCTGGTGACCAAAGGGGAGACCGACGGGGAGGTGGTGGCAGAGGCTTGCTGCGGTTGTGGTTTGGGGTTTAGGGTTTGGGGTTTAGGGGTTAGGGGTTAGGGGTTAGGGTTTAGGGTTTAGGGTTTAGGGTTTAGGGTTCAGGGTTCAGGGTTTAGGGTTTAGGGTTTAGGGTTTAGGGTTTAGGGTTTAGGGTTTGGGATGTAGGGTTTAGGGTTTATGGTGAGAAGGTCGCCTCGAGTTTGGAGTTTAGGGCTTTAAGTATACTAGGATCCCCATTGGCAGCCCTTCCTTCTTTTGCTTCGGACTAGGTTCCCTAATAGTTCGCCTGCTTGGAGGGTTTAGGGTTTAGGGTTCAACTTCTCTCAAAACTCCCTGAGGATTCAGGGTCAGGAAAGAAACCCTACACGGGGCTTCGCGGGCACAGCCGGCGATTGCCAAGTGCTCATGGGAAAAGAGGCAAGCTTTGCTCTTTGCAGATTTACCATCCTGCTCCCTTGCCCCACACGCTCTATGAGCCTCCCGCGCCTTTCGAACCACCAAAAAACCAAAGCCCTCAACCCTTGAACCCATAAACCCCAATCCCTCAACCCTAACCACTAAACCCTAAACCTCAAACCTCAAACCCTAAACCCTAAGCCCTAAACCCTAAACCCTAAACCCTATAAACCCTAAACTTCAAACCCTAAACCCTAGGCCCTATACTCTAAACCATAAAAACCCTCCAGAGCAGATGCGCAGGCGAGCGACGGGGTGACGACCGGGGCGGCCGCGATAGGCCGGCAAGATGCAAGCCCCTCTTACAGGCATAGGTTTGGGGTTTGGGGTTTAGGATTTAGGGTTTAGGGTTTAGGGTTTAGGATTTAGGGTTTAGGGTTTAGGGTTTAGGATTTAGGGTTTAGGGTTTGGGGTTTAGGGTGTCCGTCAGGCAGCCTAGACCCTGCACTTCTAACCCTACAAACTCCACCCGTAAGCTCTACCCAAATCCTCAGACAAATGAACCCAGAGATTGTGGGATGTTCCCCCTTAGACTGACAGTCCCTTAATGGGGACTACAATAGGGGGGCACTGTAATCCCTCCTAAGGACTGTTCGTAGAAGGGGAAGCATCCCAACCCAGAAGCCCTGAGGCCTGAAACGGTTGCGGCCCCGGGGATGAAAAAACCCCAAACGCCTGAAAACCTGAGCAGAGCCACGGTTTAGGGTTTAGGGTTTAGGGTTTAGGGTTTAGGGTTTAGGGTTTTTAGGGTTTAGGGTTTAGGGTTTAGGGTTTAGGGTTTAGGGTTTAGGGCTCAGAACCCTTGCACTTGAACGCGCTATATGCCTAGAACGATAAACCCTGAGCCCCGAAACCCTTGGAAACCCTAGAAGCCCTCAACCTTGAACCCTAAACCCGAAACCCGAAACCCTAAACCCTAAACCCTGAACCCTAAACCCTAAACCCTAAACCCTGAGCCCTAAACCCGAAACCCTAAACCCTAAACCCTAAACCCTAACCCCTAAACCCTAAACCCTAAAAGCCTAAGCCCTCAACCCTGGCTTGGGCAGGCCCGCCGATCATGGTGGACACCGAGGCTTCAGGGACCCTGAGGGTTTCTGGGGCTTCATGGGGACAGGGTTTAGGGTTTAGGGTTTAGGGTTTAGGGATTAGTGTTTAGGGTTTAGGGTTTCGGGTTCAGGGTTTAGGGTTTAGGGTTTAGGGTTTGGGTTTAGGGTTTAGGGCTTAGGGCTTAGGGCTTAGGGCTTAGGGCTTAGGGCTTAGGGCTTAGGGCTTAGGGCTTAGGGCTTAGGGCTTAGGGCTTAGGGCTTAGGGCTTAGGGTTTAGGGTTCAGGGGTTAGGGGTTAGGGGTTAGGGTTTAGTAGGACCCCCAAAAGACCAAAAGGGGACAAAAGGGACACCCCTGAAAACCTGATTCCCCTAACCCTCAACTCCGGATCCTAACCTCTAAACCTCCTATATTAGGGTTTAAGGTCTAGGGTTTAGGGTTTAGGGTAGAAACCCTAAACCCCAAGCCAGAAGCCCCTATAAGCGCCCTAAGCTCTACACCCCAAAGCCCTAGACGCAAAGACCTAAACTCTAAACCCCAAAGCCGAAGCCCTGCAAGCCCGAAACGCCGCACAACCCGAAGGCTACGGCCTTAAACCCCTATGCGCAGATCACCGCCGCGACTATGGCGATGGGCGGGGCAAAGGTGATGGCCGTGCCCGAGGTCCGGGCACGACCCATGCAGACTCCCAAACGTGAATATTCCTTACGTAAGGGGTATGGTCGAAGCCTGAAGAACCTCTCCTCCTTGCACCCTAACCCTACACCCCCCCCCCCCCCCTCCTGACTGCTGCTCAGTAGGGAGAGAGCCGACATCGGGAGAATGTTGCACTTTGTTATGCGCAACCCAGAGCCGTCAACCCTAATTTGCTCCAAGCGCCGACTCCATGGATCCTATAAAACCAATACAGGGGCTTCCGAAATTAGCGGTACACCTTAAACCCCGAACTAAACCTTCTGAGCGCACCCTTCTGAAACCTGAAACCTGAAACCTGAAACCCTAAACCCTAAACCCTAAACCCTAAACCCTAAACCCTAAACCCTCAACCCCTCAACCCTAAAACCCTAAACCCTAAACCCTCAACCCTAAACCCTAAACCCGAAACCCTAAACCCTAAACCCTAAACCCTAAACCCCAGAGTGCATTCCTGGGAAACTCCGGGGCCCGCAGGTCGCAGCCGGAGCCGCGATGCGCGACGCTGAGGGCCGACTTGCGGCGGGCTTTGGCTGGGTGAGGTCATAGCAACTTAGGGTTTATATGTAGGGTTTATATATAGGGTTTATATATAGGGTTTATATATAGGGTTTGCAGGATTTATAGGGTTTATAGGCCTCAGATCACGGCTCATAGGGGTTTGGGATTAGCGCTGAGGGCTTAGGAACCCAAAAACGCTAAGCTTAAATCCACAGAAGGCCAGGGGTTCGGGGTTTCACTAAGCCGCCTAAAATTAGGTTTAGGGTCCAATTTTGGTTTCGTGCTCAGGAGCACTGTAAGCCCCCTAAGCCTTAAAACCCTCAACAAGTCCTGCACCCAGGGCCCATGCTGAAGACTTCATGTCTGTGAGATGTGCGGAGACTATGCCCAGCGTAAGGAAAACGGAGAGGGGGGCAGGGGGCTTTGGGGTGGCCGGTTCCACAAATTCCCAGTAGGTGTCTGACGTCCGTAAACTGTCTGAAAAACCCTGAGTCCGCCCTAAACCCTAAACCCTAAACCCTAAACCCTAAACCCTAAACCCTAAACCCTAAACCCTAAACCCTAAACCCTAAACCCTAAACCCTAAACCCTAAACCCTAAACCCTGAGTCCGCCCACACCCTGGCCATAACTGTTGAAACTTACACCCTAAACCCTAACCCGAGGGTCTAAGGTTTAGAGGGTGAAAAAGAAGCTTGGAAGACCAAACCTGCAACCTTCCCTGTCTATGGCTTAGGCCCCTGCTTTTCCCAAACTCCAGGGTACAGGGTTGAGGTTTTAGGGTTTCGAGGGTTTAGGTTTATGTCTATCGGAAGTACTGGGGTTGAAAGTTTTTACCCGCCCTCCCCCCTCAAAATTGATACAAGCACAAAGCAAAGCAAATGCGGTTCTGACAAGTTGTAGCTAAACTCTAAATCCACACCGAACAATTGCAAGAACAGCTCAGTGTCTGAGTACTACGCTTAAACCTCCAAGGAGGATTGGACCCCTTCAGCCCTACAAACCTCAAAGCAACAAACTCGCAACAATCAATGCTAGTCCTCCAAACCCTCAACCCTAAAACTCAAGACCCTCTACCCTGAGAGCTTGAAAGCCCTAAAGCCCCAGACCCTAAACCCCAAACCCTGCAAACACTTGACGCTGACCTACAAAAATCTCACACCCTACATGCACCTAACCCCCCCCAAGGAACCACAACTCCATATACAGCACCTTACAGCCCAAACCCCACACCTTACAGCACTAAAACCCTAGGCCCTGCAAACCCTAAACCCTAAAAAACCCGAATAGTTCCAAACACCCTAGACCCGGCAAACCCGAAATCACACAACACGCCCCAAACAAATCCAATAATCCCACATGCCAAAAGCCCTAATAAGCCCTGCAAACCCTAAAGCCTAACACTGCCCTAACCCTAAAGCCACAAAACCTGCAGACACGGTCCAGCCCTCGTCGTCTATGATGCCGCCTACTCTGCTTGCCGGGCTTGGCTGCAGTCACACCCTGGCCTCGAGTCCACCGACCTTTGGCGCGTCAAGTTGCAGGAGGCTCCATCGATGGTGATGGCCGCCGCGCCTCCCACTTCGATCTTCCGCCATGTTGCGCCCGAGGCGCACCTTGCAGTCGAACCCATGCGCCCAGCAGCGCCTTGAACCTGCAGCGATTGTCAGTTCCCGGGAAAAGAGAAGCCGCGCACCGAGATCCGGTCTCTACTACTACCTGGCGAAGGTGAAGACCAAGCTGCGGCAATCTTCGGAAACCCCACAGCCCTAAACCCAAAAACTCTAAGAAACCCTGAAGCCCTAAGCCCTGTAAACCCTAAACCCGAACAACCCTAAGAAACCCTAACGCCCTAAACCCTGCAAACCCAATCAACCCCCAAACCCGGATGAACATTAAAGCCCTACACCTTGCAAACCCTATGAACCCTACAGCCCTAAACCCTGCCAATTTAAGAGCCTCCGGCTCAAGCCGCCGACCCCGCTGGAGCATAGTTGAGAGGTCTAAACCCGCTCGCATGGTTCGAAGATCATCCCAGCCTGCTCGGCAGAGTTCTGTGAAACGTTTGGGGTGGGGGGGGCAAGATGGCCATCCGCTCAAGAGCAGCCGCCGAAACCCGAGCATAGTTGGAGGTCTAAATAACCCGCTCGCATCGGCAGGGAAAGATCAATCCCCCTGCTCGGCATAGGTGGAACCGTTTTGGGGGGTGGGGGGGGGGGGGGGGGGGGGGTGGGGGGGGGGTGGGGGGGGGGGGGGGGGGGGGGTGGTGGGGGGGGGGGTGTGGGTGGGTTGGGTTGGGGGGGTTGGGGGGGGGGGGGGGGGGGGGGGGTTGGGGGGGGGGTGGGAAGGGGGAGGGGGGGGAGGGGGGGGGGGGGGGGGGGGGGGGGGGGGGGGGGGGGGTGGGGGGGTGTGATTTTGCTGGGCGCCTTCCCCCTCCACCGCTTGTGCTGTGGCGGGTGGCGTCGGTCCCTCTGCCCCCCTCCTACGCCCCCCCCCCCCCCCGCCGCGTTTTGGGGGTGTAAGGAGGGAAATAGGGAGGTTTTTATGGTGTCCTCAAACCTCCTCCACTCAACCCTAAACCCTAAACGCCCTTAAACCCTAAGCCCCTAAGCCCTAAACCCTAAAACCCTAAGCCCTAAAAACCCTAAACCTAAACCCTAAACCCTAAACCCTAAACCTAAACCTAAACACTAAACCCTACCCTAACTAACCCTAAAGCCCTAAAACCCTAACACCCTAAACCCTAAACCCTAAAACCCTTAACCCTAAACCCTAACCCTAAACCCTAAACCCTAAACCCTAAACCCTAAACCCTAAACCCTAAACCATAAAACCTAAACCCTAAACCCTAAACCCTAAACCCTAAACCCTAAACCCTAAACCCTAAACCCTAACCTAAACCCTAAACCCTAAACCCTAAACCCTAAACCCTAAACCCTAAACCCTAAACCCTAAACCCTAAACCCTAAACCCTAAACCCTAAACCCTAAACCCTAACACCTAAACCGTCGGAAGCCGTCTCGCGGCTCGGGAAGCCCCACCTGAACTTATCCCACATGGCCCTCGAGGTGCCACCTGACGGGAGTCTTTATTGCATGTTTAGGGCTTAGGGCTTAGGGCTTAGGGCTTAGGGTTTAGGGTTTAGGGTTTAGGGTTCAGGGTTTAGGGTTTAGGGGTTGGGTGTGAAGGGTTTAGGGCTCGGGCACAGGGTTCAGGGTTTTATGTGGGTTGGAAAGGCTTTCGTTGCCAAAAAAGTCGTTTGGCTATGTAGGGGAGGCGTCGTGGGTGCTTAGCGCATTCTTCACGTGGGTTTTCATAGTTTTGCTCGGTTTTAAAGGGGTCCTAAGTGTTTTTTTGGGTTTAGGGTTTTTGTGTGGATTTTAGGGTTTAGGGGGTTTTGGCGCCATCCGTCTCTACCGGTATGATCCGCGCAGATTACCGAAACAATTGTACTAGTCTCGTAAGCCCCTGCATCAAAGGCTTTCAGGATGAGGGTTTTGGGGTTGAGGGTGTTGAGGCTGAAGGGTTCAGGGTTAAGGTTTCAGTTCTGAGGCTAGGGGTTGAGGGTTTTAGGGGACTTCCGCCAAGTGAAGGAAGAGAGTTTATTGCATGGTCTTCTCCGGGATTGGGGGTTTCAGAGAGTAGGGTCCTGGGCTCTTGGGATTACATGTTTGTGATGGAGAGGCGTAGCTGTTCGGGACTCAAGCTGTTGAGGTTTGACAAAACCAGGGCAACCTTCATCCCCCAACCTAGACCCTAAGCAACCTAGACCCTAAGCCCTAAATTCTGCACCCTAAATTTGCGATGTTCCCCCTTATGCTCATAGTCCTTAATTGGGATTATGGTACCCTCTATCATAATCCCCATTAAGGACTGTCAGGAACCTCGAAACCCGAAACCCCCCGACTGCTAGGAGCCCAAGCCTCTCACCCCGAACGACCACTGAGTCGACAGGTCTTCCGATATGGCGCTGGGCTCAGTGTTCATTGGGCTCCGGCCGTTTGAAATCCACCCGTCTGAAGGGGTCAGGGCAGAGGCTTGTGGCGGGAGTTCATACATGTACAAACATATATATACATATATATATAAGAGAGAGAGAGAGAGAGTTGTTTTTGAGTTTCAGGATTTAATCCTTACGGGTATCGGCTTTAGACGCTAGGGGCTTAGGTTTTTGGCAGGGAGTTTAGATAAAGTTGTTTTTTTTGAGTGCTGCGCCTCCCAGGACAAAGCACGAGCACATCGAGCTAAACAGGCCGGGAAGCCTAGAGTTGTTTGGGAGGTCTACAAAGCTCCTAAACCCCCAAACCCGAGACCTCTGAACCACACAATTGTAAACGCTTGCGCGCGCCGCCTCGGCAGCCTGCCTCGTCCACCGCCGGGTGCGCAACGGTCCTAGAGGGGAGCGGGGATCGGCAAGGGGAGGTAGGGTTTAGGGTTTAGGGTTTAGGGTTTAGGGTTTAGGGTTTAGGGTTTAGGGTTTAGGGTTTAGGGTTTAGGGTTGGAAAGGGGGGAACAGTCTCGGACAAGATAGTTTACTGACTTGTTGGCAAGAGTTGTTGCTGGAATGGCTTTTGGGAAGAATGTCGGAGATGTACCTTTGGCAGATTCAAGCCTAAGCTCTCCTCTTGCTCGGGTGTGGCCAAGCGCCAAAGAGCAGAAATGCCGCGTTTTTCAAGTTTCAAATTCGTTTCCGTAGTTTCAAATTAGTTTCAAAAATAGTTTCAAAATCCAGTTGCAAAATCGCTGTTAAGGGGAAACTGCATTTTTCTATGCGCAATTCAAAAAAAATGAAGGAATCTCAGAGGTTCCTGGTTTTCAAAAAGCGCGGACAGAAATTGTAGTTCCCCCTTAACAGCGATTTTGCAACTGGATTTTGAAACTAATTTGAAACTGATTGGAAACTAATTTGAAACTATGGAAACAATTTGAAACTTGAAAAATACCATATTTCGGACTTTCTGCCCCCATCCTGGCCCCTCACACACGGCCCTCAGTTGACTGTGGTCAGCCGTGACTATAGAGACCAGAGTTTCCGAAAACTTGCCAGTCTCCAGACTGTTGATGGACGAAATCCTGCATCACTTTTATTCTGCAGGTCATCCCTTCCAAACCCTGAATCTTAACATTGCTGTCCTTGCAATGCTTCGAAGTTGCATGTGTGTGAATGACCGAAATCCTGCATCACCCATATGCGCACGCAACATTGAAATTCGAGGGGCGCGGGGAGCTCGATTACCAACCGTCGCACACGTGTAACATAGGGGGTCATGCAAGATTTTGTCCATCAACAGAAGGAGACCAGACCCTGGTCTGCTTGTTCTAGGCGCCTCTCGGCTGGACCGAGGCGAAGAAGCCTGACTTGAACCCTAAATCCCTGAGTCTCTAAGCCCTAAACCCTGCACCCTAAACCCTAAACCCTAAACCCTAAACCCTAAACCCTAAACCCTAAACCCTAAACCCTAAACCCAAAACCCAAAACCCTAAACCCTAAACCCTAAACCCTAAACCCTACTATAAACCCTGGAGCCTCAAAACCCTCAACCCTGAACTCTACAAAGACCGAAGACGTGGTCCCTGGACTTAGAGGCTTTTCCTGGCCTAGACTCCAAGCGCCCTGCAAGTTTCTCGGGTTTAGGGTTTAGGGTTTAGGGTGTAAGGCACACCAGCCACCTCGCTCCACATCTTGATTGGCGGTTTTGGGGGTTTAGGGTAAGGCGGGTAAGGCCTAACGTCCAGCAAAGCACGTGTGGGCACCAAGATTGGTTCACCCTGAAAAGCCCTAATCCCCCAAACCCTGGACCCCAAACCCTACCACCAAATGTCCCAAACCTTAACGTCACCCCACCCCTGAACCTCCAAACCCTACACCCTGAACCCGAAACCCCAAACCCCAAACCCTACACCCTAAACGCTAAACCCGAAACCCTAAACCCTACACCCTAAACCCTAAACCCTAAACTCCAAACCCTAAACCCTAAACCCCAAGCCCTCCGAGATTCCACTCAGGAGCTCCAGTCGGAGCGTGACAAGCTCCTGAAGCGGGGTACCGCTCGCGTCAGCAACGCAGCCGCCAATGCAGGTGATGGCAAGGCGCGGCCTGGGAGATGACACGAACAAGAAGAAAAAAGAGTGTAGGGTTTAGGATTTAGGGTGTAGTGTTTAGGGTTTAGGGTTTAGGGTTTAGAGTTTAGGCCTGGGAGAGTATACGAACAAAGCCATGTGAAGGGGACTAGGGTTTAGGGTTTGGGGTTTAGGGTTTGGGGTTTTCGGGTTTTAGGGTTCGGGAGTTGGGGTTTAGGGTTTAGGGTCTAGGTTTATTGGGTTGATTGGGTTTATTGGGTTTTTTGCTGGGTCTAGGGTTTATAGTGCTTAGGGCTTTTTTGCGCAAGAACATAAGCCACACCTTCGTCGAACTTGTTTGGGGGGGTTGTGGGATTTCTGTGTTGGTCAGGCTCTGCAGCTGCATCGAACCTGCAGAGCCTTTTTGTCAGTAAAGTCTTGTATAGACTTCTGCAAGAGCACCTTAGTGGAATTTACCTGGGTTTCTAGTGGAACTGGCGAGACACAGGTCAGAAAGAAGCAACAGGCTTGTTCACACATTGTTTCTTGCATGGGTTTAGGGTTTTAGGGTTGTCTTGTTGCTGAAGGTTTTTGGCTTTGTTTTGTTTCAAAGGTTGGAGATTGGGGCTGTCTTGTTAAGGTTTATGTTTTTGGTTCTATGGTTTAGGCTTCCGGGTTTTGGGTTGTCTTGTTGAGGTTTGGGGTTTAGGGTTGTCTGGTTAAGGTGTAGGGCTTAGGGCATTTAAAGGTTTATGTTTTAGGGTTTATGGCTGTAGCCTGTAGAGCCATGTCCGTCGGGGTTCCCAACACTTCCGTAGGGGCAGGGGTTCTGTCTCAAAAAGTAGCTATAAGTCTAGAAAAGCCTACAAGTGCCCCAGCCCTCCACCCCCACACCTACAGTCTCTAAACCCGACTCCCTAAACCCTACCTAAAGCCCAAACGTTGAAACCCTAAACCCTAGGGAGGGGGACTGAAACCCTAAACCCTAAACCCTAAACAGTAAACCCTAAACCCTAAACCCTAAACCCTAAACCCTAAACCCTAAACCCTAAACCCTAAACCCTAAACCCTAAACCCTAAACCCTAAACCCTAAACCCCGAAAACCCGGATCCAGGACCAGGCGCGAGCCCTCGTCTGGACCTGCGCACTCATCGTCCCCGCAGTGATTGCCTATGTCTCCATTGCCGCGGCCCTATGACTCTAAACCCTAAACCCTAAACCCTAAACCCTAAACCCTAAACCCTAAACCCTAAACCCTAAACCCTAAACCCTAAACCCTAAACCCTAAACCCTAAACCCTAAACCATAAACCCTAAACCCTAAACCCTAAACCCTAAACCCTATACCCTAAACCTAAACCCGAAACCCAAACCCTAAAACCTAAACCTATCCCTCCCTAAAATGGTGGTCCCTTTTGGGGTCGCTTTTTTGGGGGTTTAGAGGCTTAGGGGTTTAGGGTTTAGGGTTTAGGGTTTAGGGTTTAGGGCCTAAGGCGGCCCCTACTATTTAATTCGGGTACCCGAAGAAACGACGCAACTTTGAGAATTCACCATGTAAGGTCTATGCCTTCACAACTCCCAACTCGAAGCTCGAAACCCTAAGCTCCAAACCCTAAAGCCTGTAAACTCCTAAACCCTAAACCCTAAACCCTAAACCCTAAACCCTAAACCCTAAACCCTAAACCCTAAACCCTAAACCCTAAACCCTAAACCCTAAACCCTAAACCCTAAACCCTAAACCCTAAAACACGAAACCCAAAACCCTAAAACTTTAAACCTCGGAGCCTCTGCTTCTAAACACCTAGTATCCCGGGATTAGGGCTTTGGTTAGCTTTTCGGTTGTGGGTTTTCTTCCAAGCTTGCCAAACACATCCACCCTCAAACGCCCCAAGCACCCAAACCCCAAACTTTGGGATGTTCTCCTTCGTACTAACAGTCTTCAATCGGGACTATTGACTATAGTAAGGGGTACTAGAATCCCTTTGAAGGACTGCTAGTATAAGGGGAACATCCCAACCCAAACCCTAAACCCTAAATCCGAAAGAGCGCAACCTCAAGTCCCAAAACCCTACCGGCCCGATGTATTTCGATGGTTTTGGGGTGGGTTTGGGCTTACCCTGCAACCTCAACCCGAAAAATCCCTAAGAAGCCTAAAACCCCTAAACCCTAAAAAAGCCCTAAAACCCTAACAAGCCTAAAACCCCTAAACCCTAAGAAGCCTGAAACCCTTAAACCCGAACAAAGCCCTAAAACCCTACACCCGAAGACCCGAAGGGGGTGAGGGGTCTTCGGCTCTGGGGCTGTTGCGCGGAAGGGTTCACAAGTTGGGTTCAGGGTTTCTCGGGGGTTGGGATGTTACTAAACCCTAGTCCCTAAACCCTAAACCCTAAACCCTAAACCCTAAACCCTAAACCCTAAACCCTAAACCCTAAACCCTAAACCCTTAACCCTAAACCCTTAACCCTAAACCCTAAACCCTAAACCCTAAACCCTAAACCCGAAACCCGAAACCCTAAACCCTAACCCCTAAACCCTAAACCCCAAACCCTTAACCTTTTTCAGGCCTTCAGAGTGTCAGGTCTTAGGGCGGCTCTTGGGGCCTCCAAGAAAGTAACCGCCGGCGCTGCGCGAACCAAGGGTTCAACGCCGCAAAATTCGACTGGGACACCCTGGATCGATCGGAAACGGCTCTGCTGGCATCTCCGCCGAGTCTAATTGCAGAGCGTCGGCACGACGCTTCTTCGACGATATGTTCTTCGATTGCGATGCCCTGGACGAGGCCGAGGGATACAATGCCCATGATTTCGATGCCCTGGACGAGGCCGAGGGACACAATGCCCATGGAGAAGCACCACACTTTGATCGACAAAGGTCTTTCAGGGGTCTTGGAGGTTTAGGGCTTAGGGTTTTGGGTTTAGGGTATCGGCTGGGCAGCTGCATGGGTGGGCTTCTTCGCAGCCTCAAGAACCCCGACCCCCAAGACCTGAACGCTGAAACCTAAACCTAGACCCCTCTAAACCGGCTTGATGACGGTTTAGGGTTTTGGGTTTAGGGTTTAGGGTTTAGAGTTTAGAGTTTAGGGTTTACGGTTTAGGGTTTAGGGTACTATACAAAAAGCCTCAACCCTGAACCTAGACCCTACATCCACACCCGTAGGTTAGTGCCTAGGGTTATGTTCACTTGCCGCCCAGATGCTCGCGTGGTTTTTCATGTTCCACAGCTCGATTGTGAAGTTTCTGGCAGCTCGGCAAAGTGGAATCTAGTCGTGCAGAGTCCTAAGCCCTAAACCCTAAACCCCAAACCCTAAACCTAAACCCCAAACCCTAACCCGGTTCCCTAAACCCTAAGCGCTAAAACCTAAAACCTAAACTCTAAAAGCCTCCAAACCCTAAACCCTAAAGCCTCCAAAGTTTGCAAGGGTGCCCCTTTTCCATGGGCTGCCGCCGCAATCAAGCCATGGCGATGCTTCACCTAAGCCCTCATGATGATGATCAGACTGCAATCTCTAAGCCCCTAAGCCTACTCAAACCCTAAAGCCCTAAACCCTCAAGCCCTAAACCCTAAAGCCCTAAGCCCTAAGCCCTAAACCCTAAACCCTAAACCCTAAACCCTAAACCCTAAACCCTAAACCCTAAACCCTAAACCCTAAACCCTAAACCCTAAACCCTAAACCCTAAACCCTAAACCCTAAACCTCTTAAACCTTAAAACCCTAAACCCTAAACCCTAAACCCTAAACCCTTAAACCCTAAACCCTAAAACCCTAAACCCTTAAACCTAAACCCTAAACCCTAAACCCTAAACCCTAAACCCCTAAACCCTAAACCCTAAACCCTAAACCCTAAACCCTAAACCCTAAACCCTAAACCCTAAACCCTAAACCCTAAACCCTAAACCCTAAACCCTAAACCCTAAACCCAATCCCTAGGCTCTGAGCCCCAAAGGCCACTTGAGAAAGCAGAAGTTTTCCTACGGACATACTAGAAATCAGAGGTTTTCTGAATGGACTATGGGGAAATAGAGAAAACTTAGAAAGCACAAATGGCAGACACATCTCTGGCTTTTACGGGTTGAGGGCTTAAGGCTCAAAGTTGAGGGTTTGGGATTGTGGTGGCGGTGGACGTCGGGTCGGGTTTTGACTTGTAGGTCGCAGATTTCATGTGCAGGCGCCTGTAGCGAGGTTCCAAGAAACCAACTACCTTAGGTAGGAAGCCCACACAGGAAAGCCTGTGGGCGCAGGAGAATCACGGGCTGATGGTTGAGGGCTTCGCGGCGAACAACCTCAAAGGATGGTCTCCCTATAGGCGGTGTTGGAGCCAAACCAGGAGGGGTTTGGGGTTTTGGGGTCAGGGTTCAGGGTTTAGGGTTTAGGGTGTAGGGTTTAGGGTTTCGGGAACCTAAATCTGAAATCTGCGGCGTCCCAAACCCGAGACCCTAAACCCTAAGCCCTAAGCCCTACACCCTAAAACCCTAAAACCCTAAAACCCCAAAAACCCTAAACCCTAAAACCCTAAACCCTAGACCCTAAACCCTAAACCCTAAACCTTCCTTCTAGATCTCCGAAGCATGTGCTCCAACAGCCAGCCGAGGCCTTATTCCTCAGCCGGGGCCCCAGGAAGTTTAGGGTTTAGGCTTTAGGGTTTAGGGTTTAGGGCGTAGGGTTTAGGGTTTAGGGTTTTGGGGTTTTCGGGTTTTAGGGTTTTTGGGGTTTTACGGTTTTAGGGTTTCGCTCAGAAAGGCTGCGCGGTTCATCCGGGGTGTCTCATGCTGGACAAGAAGACTTTCAAGGCACCCGGAAATGATAGATGCGAGTGAGGAGAAGTGGGCATCCGGTTCCATGCTCTCTGGAACAGACTGACGGTCGCAGCCTCGCTCCTCCCGGAGGATGTCGTTGGCAAGAACCTGCCGAAAATGCTGGAGATGTCTCGTCGTCCCCGAGGCATGCGATTAGAGATGTGCTTGCAGTGATGGAGCTCAATGCCAAACATCGGCCGCTCCGAGATTTGCTGGACTTCCATCATGGAAGGAGGTCGTGACGAAGAGCTCCAATCCGTCACCTCGACGGCCTCGAGGGTTAGCAAACTAGGGTTTAGGGTTTAGGGTCTAGGGTCTAGGGTTTAGGGTTTAGGGTCTTGGGTTTAGGGTTTAGGGTTTAGGGTGTGAAATTTCAGGTGCTTAGTGGCTTAGATCTCTTCGAGATTCGAGGTTCGGGCCTTGCACTAAACCCCAAGCCCACTAAGCCAACAGTTCCACAAGCCCTGGAACCCTAAACCCCGAAACCCGGAAATCCTGAAAACCCCTAAATCAACCCTAAACCCTAAGCCCTAAGCCCTAAACCCTAAACCCTAAAAATCGGTGCCATTTTCTCCCCCCAACCCCCCCACCCCCCCCCCCCCCCCCCCCCCAAAGTCCTGATTGTTAGGGAGGCTTAGGGTTGAGGGCTCCGGGTTGGTTCGGGTTCAGGGTTTAGGGTTTAGGGCTAGGGTTCAGGGTTCAGGGTTCAGGGTTCAGGGTTCAGGGTTCAGGGTTCAGGGTTCAGGGTTTAGGGTTTAGGGTTTAGGGTTTAGGGTTTAGGGTTTAGTGATCAGGGTTTGGGGTGGTTTTCAGGGCTTCCATGCAGGTTTCCTCCTACTTGGCCTTGTCCTGGCGCTTCTGAGCTTCAAGTGGCCGCGGCCCCAGAGCGACTGTGCCGGCCCCGGCCCTGAGAAGCTGTGTATAGTACTAGCATATGGATAATATGGGGTCCCTTTGAGATCCGTGTTATACTGGTGCCGTGCCACGTAGGGGACCCAAAAAGGGACCCCAAAGTTATTCTAACGTATACGACCAGGGAACGTGCTCCGTGGGGGGAGGCCAGCCAAGCGCTGGCGCTACAAGTGCTTCCTCCTACTCCTGGCGTGCGTCAAATCCTGCATGCATTGTGGCGAAAGCTGGAACCCAAAACTTCAAACCCTAAACCTTAAACCTGAAATGCGAGAAGCCAAGCTCAAGCCTCCCTCAACCGCAAAACCCTGAAGACCCCCTTCTAATGCTTCATCATAACCTTCCCGGAAGCTCTTAGATGCCTTGGCCCTTTGCCTCAGCCTTTCGGGTGTAGGGTTGAGGGCCTACTGGCTCCAACCCAAAAGAGCCTAACCCCCCCCCCCTCCACCCCTTCCCCCCTAAAGCGCATGGAAGCCCCAAACCACAGACTCGAAATCCTATATCGTATATATATATATATATAGAAACAAAATATTTGTATATTTTGTGCATATACATACATACATACCTACCTACATACATACATACATACAAAGCCTAAAGCCTCAAGCACCCCCCCCCCCCCCCCCCCCCCGCAAACCCGAACACCCCACACACGCAGAGGCTCACGGGCAGGGCCCGACCCTGGCTCTGGTGGATGGGCTTCTGGATCGGTCAGGCCACTGGGGAGGTTTTCAGGGGGCCCTAAACCCTAACCCCTAAAACCCTAAACCCTAAACCCTAAACCCTAAACCCTAAACCCTAAACCCTAAACCCTAAACCTAAACCCTAAACCCTAAACCCTAAACCCTAAACCCTAAACCCCTAAACCCTAAACCCGAAACCCTAAACCCTAAACCCGAAACCCTAAACCCTAAACCCTAAACCCTAAACCCCAAACCCTAAACCCTAAACCCTAAACCCTAAACCCTAAACCCTAGACCCTAGACCCTAAACCCTGAATCCTAAACCTTGGACCTTGTACGAGGCAAACCTGCATCTTCCTCCAGCCCCAACGGAGATTGGGTGTTTCTATGGGCTTTAGGGTATAGGTTTCGAGATTTCAGGGTTTCAGGGTTTAGCGTTATAGGGCTTAGGGTTTTCAAGGTTCGTGAGGGGGGAGATACAAGGCATTATAGGGTGTAGGGCTTGAGGCTTGAAGGTGAAACCCCAAACCCCAAACCCCAAATCCCAAACCCCGAACCCCAAACCCCAAACCCTAAACCCCAAACCCTCAACCCTCAACCCTAAGCCCTAAACCCTAAACCCTAAACCCTAAACCCTAGACCCTAAACCCTAACCGTCTAGGGATGCAGGGTTGTCAGGGTTAATCTTAGGTTCCGGGTATAGGGTGGGTTTGATTAGGGTTTAGGATTTAGGGTTCTCAGGGTTCAGGGTTTAGGGTTTAGGGTTTAGTGTTTTGGGTTTTGGGGCTTTCTCATAGCATGGCGGGCAGCGGTGTGCATGTTGGGGCCTGGGGCCTTTACCCTGAGGGTGCTGGGGCCCTTGCAGTCTCAGGGTTGTTACATGGTCCCTTTGTATGGTCCCAAAATAGGGGGCCCCCTTAGATACCCATTATATACCCGAAACAACCCAAGGGCCCATACATCAGAACCCATTAAAGAGGCTCAGGGAACTAACCTCAGAAGCAATGAAGTGAACCCCCAAACACCGAAACCTCAACGCTAAAAATCACAGACCCCCTAAAACCCTAAAAGCCGATAATCCTAAGCCCTCAACACATTTGACCCCAAATCTCTCGCCCTTGGCACCCAAACCCGAAACCCGAGACCCCTACATCCTTCGGTTCTAAGCCGCCCCGCTCTTATCGCAAGCCCGCCAACAGGCGGCGTTGGCCGCGCTGGTCATCGGGTTCTTTGTGTACTACCGGAACCTGGTGTACTACTGGAAGTACCAGGATGTTTAGGGTTTAGGGCTAGGGTTTAGGGTTTAGGGTTTAGGGTTTAGGGTTTAGGGTCTAGGGGTGGTTGTTTCTTGCTGGGCCTTGTTTACAGCCTTGGGCGGGTTGAGATGGCACCCTTAGCCCCTCCCAATTCCCAATTTCCAAACCCCTGCCGCGTCAATTCAGGGTTTAGGGTTTAGGGTTTAGTGTTTAGGGTTCAGGGTTTAGTGCACAAGTGAGGTTAAGGTATAGCACGACTGTGGTGACTCTGCATAATCTATCCCCAGTTTGTCTACCCATGAGTCTCCTAAACACCTGAGCGCCCAAGCCCCAAACCCTAAACCCCAAACCCCAAACCCCAAACCCCAAACCCCGAACCCCAAACCCCAAACCCCAAACCCCAAACCCCAAACCCTAAACCCTAAACCCCAAACCCCAAAAAGAGCTCAAAGCCCGCAAGCCCGGGCCGCCCGAAGGAGATGCGGAGCTACACCAACGTCGCCGCAGCCCAGGATGATGCTGCCGCTGCCCCAGGGTCTCAGCGTGTAGGGCCTGAGGGGTTTAGGGTTTAGGGTTAGGGAATGCTACTTGGGGCCTTCAAGTACTTCCCAGGACTCCGGGGCCCAAGTATATCATCATAAGGTACAAGAACCCTTGGGGTTAGGGAGTAGGGCCTGAGGGGTTTTTTGTAAGCAGTCAGTGCGGACGATCCAAGCAAGAAGCACGCCCAGATGCCTACAGCAGACTGTGTACAGGGTATGCTTCCCGCGTGAATGGGCCTTGGCGTAGGGTTTAGCGTTTGGCGTTTAGCTTTTAGCGTTTAGCGTTTAGGGTTTAGGGTTTAGGGGTTAGGGGTTAGGGGTTAGGGTTTAGGGCTTTCTTTAGGTCTACCCTCTTTGCGGAAACTGCGATCTGGTAAGGTCTAGGGACCCCCGCTGTCAGGGCTGGCCAGCTAAGATGCCCGCTTGGTCAGTCAGGGGTCGCGCTTTCCCTGGAACCCCAAGACCTAGGCTCCTTTGTCGCAAAAGTCGAAAACCCCTAAACCCTAAACCCCAAACCCTAGCAACCTTAAATCCCTGAAGCCCAAACCCCAAACCCAAGAACTGGGCGGTGCCATCGTGCCTCATCTCGCCTTTGCGATATGCCTGGGATGGCCAAGACCGTGGGTCAGGGTATAAGATTAGGGTTTAGGGTTTAGGGTTTACGGTTTAGGGTTTAGGGTTTAGGGTTTAGGCTTCAGGGTAGTTAGTGTCCCTGGTGTCTTGAGGGAAGGATCCCTGATCAGCCCCATAAAGCTTACCAAGGGTCTCCGTAGGGAGAAAGCCGGCCTACACCCTAAACCCTAAACCCTAAACCCTAAACCCTAAACCCTAAACCCTAAACCCTAAACCCTAAACCCTAAACCCTAAACCCTAAACCCTAAACCCTCTCAAACACCTCCTTAATAAGGACCCCCGCTTCCTGTCTTTCCTGGAATCTGCGCCGACGCGCTGCCCCCACTTGTTCAAAAGACACGCCAGAGCTCTTGCATGCGCATGGCTGCCATAAAAAAAAAAGCAAAAACCCTAAACCCTAAACCCTAAACCCTACACCCTAAACCCTAAGCCCTTATAAGCCCTAAACCCTAAATCTTAGACCCTAAGCCCCAAACCCCGAGTTTTGGAGGTCCTTTCGATCCCTCCTTAGTTGAACGGGTTCAGGGCTTCTGTCCTTCCCAAGTTCCCTTTGTAAAAAATCAGTGGATTCAGGGTTTAGGGTTCAGGGTTCAGGGTTGAATGCTCAGAGTTCTGGGTTTTATGTAAAACCCTAAGCCCTAAACCCTAAACCAAAACCCCAAACCTAGCAGCCTTCAAGGCCTTCCCAGATGCGAACATGTTCCTTTTCACCGAGGACTCACCGGCGGGGATGTGGAAGCCCCGAAGCCTAAACTTACAGCACTACGTAATCCTAAGCCATCCGAAGGCCTTATCTTTAAACCTTAAGAGCTCGTAGCCTTAAGCGCCTTAAATTTTAAACCTTCACAATCCTAAACCCTAAGACTGACAATCCTAAGCCCTAAGCCTGAAGCCTTAACAACCCTAGACTCGCTTCTTCGGTGCGTAGCTATAAGAGCCCGCAGTAGAATGGTGACCGAAGGGTAACCACGAGACGTGGTTATCGGTAGATGCACTTCTACTGAAAGCTTTCTCCCTAAACCCTAAACCCTAAACCCTAAACCCTAAACCCTAAACCCTAAACCCTAAACACTAAACCCTAAACCCTAAACCCTAAACGATAACCCTAAGGCTACGAACTGCAGCTCGTCCAGCTGGTCAGTCAAGCCAAGCACTGCAAAGGTTTAGGGTCTAGAGTTTAGGGTCTCATGGTTTAAGTTCCCCTAGTACCCCCCCCCCCTCCCCCCCTAGGGTCTAGGGGTTTAGGTTCTCATGGTTTCCCTACTCCCCCCCCCCCCCCTCCCCTAGATAACGTTCATTAGGCTTCTGGGGGGTGTAGAGTGACCTGAACCCTAGACGCCCTGGGCCCTACAAACCCTATAAGCCCTGTAAACCCTGTAAACCTACAAACCCTCTAAACCCTGTAAACCCAAACCGACAAACCCTATAAACCCTGCAAACCCCCTAAACCCTACAAACCCTATAGACCCTACCAACCCTACCAACCCCACACAACCCTACAAGCCCTATAAGCCCTGTAAACCCTAAACCCGCATCAGCCCTAAACCCTAAACCCTAAACCCTAAACCCTAAACCCTAAACCCTAAACCCTAAACCCTAAACCCTAAACCCTAAACCCTAAACCCTAAACCCTAAACCCTAAACCCTAAACCCTAAACCCTAAACCCTAAACCCCAAACCCTAAACCCTAAACCCTAAACAAGGTCATTGAACCTTATGCGCAGGATACGCGCCTGGACACCCAGCGCGCCGTGGGCTACAAGTCCAGGCAGCCCCGCCCTACCTTTTGGAACCTTGAGGACCTTTGGGTTTTGTGGTTTAGGGTTTGGCGTTTAGGGTTAGAGTGCCATCTCTTCTTCATGTTTCTGTTTAAGGGTACGCAAACTCAATAAGGAATAGAAGTTGCAAAATTTTTCCTATCCCCACCATGAACTAGGTTGCCGGCTCTTTGCCTTTCAGGATGTGCAAAGATGATTCCTCCGCCAGCTCACCCACATAGGAGTTTACGAAAATAGGGGATCCCCAATATAGATCCCCAAATAATGGAATCCCCTTATAATCAGGGCCCCAATAAGCTACCCTTAATTTCGGAAACTCCCTGATCGCAGAAAAGGGGCGCCACAGACAAACAACTATGCAGCCGGTGCCGGCACTCCTGGGCAAACCTTTGCCACTCAGCATCCTCTTGCGCATGTGCAGAAGCACTCGGTGTAGGGATTCGGGGGTTTAGGACTTGGGCTTTAGGGGCTTCAAGGGCTTTAGGGTTTAGGACTTAGGCTTTAGGGGCTTCAGGGTTTAGGGGTTTAGGACTTAGGCTCGCGGGAGTCTTTAGGGGCTTTAGGGTTTATAGGTTTGGGGTTTTTGGTGTGTTCTAAGGGTTCAGGAGCTTAGGGGTTTTTGGGGTAGGTCGCTTTCGCAGCGTTCTAAACTTAAACCCTAGACCCTAAACCCTAACCCCTAAACCCTAACCCCTAAACGCTAAACCCTAAACCCTAAACCCTAATCCCTAAGCTCTAAACCCTAAACCCTAAACCCTAAACCCTAGCAGGTTTCAGACCGTTGCATGCAGGTGGACCGGAAAGGTCTACTGCGTGGCACCACTGGTGGACACGACCATGTCTACGGCCTTTCGGCGATGACGTGTAGGGTTTAGGGTTTAGGGTTAGGGTTGAGGGTTGAGGGTTGAGGGTTGAGGGTTGAGGGTTGAGGGTTGAGGGTTGAGGGTTGAGGGTTGAGGGTTTGGGGCTGTTTAGGGTTTAGGGCCGGGTAGGGTGTAGGGTTTAGGGTTGAGGGTTGAGGGTTTGGGGCTGTTTAGGGTTTAGGGCTGGCTAGGGTGTAGGGTTCAGTGCTATGGCAGGAGGTGTTGGAATTAGGCTTTAGGCCTGACGCTTGGTCACCCAGCCCTGTACGCAAAACTTCGTAGCCAATCCCCAAATCCGAAGCGGCCGGTCATGTTGAGGCTTCCTTGAGCCTTTTGCAATCGAACCGGATCTTACGACACCCGAAGAGTCATCTCGCACGAAGCTCCCTAAGTGACAAAAGGAGTTCAGAATCGCAATACTCGAAAAGCTGTGCTCCAACACCACCCCTCCCCTAAACCCTAAAACCCCAAAACCCTAAACCCTAAACCCTAAAGCCTCGAAGCTCGACCCTCCCTGTGTGGACTAGGCTGGACAGGTTGTCGAGCCTCAGTGAGACTGCCTTTGCACCTACGAACTGAGAACCCTGTGAGCCTCTGTGCGAAGTAGGGACTACCTAAGAGGGCCACCCCTGAAATCCCCTTCCAACCATCAGCGCCAAACGCGAGGAAACGTGAAGTTCCAGAGCCATGGCTGTGGCTGAGCCCCCGTTCCCTAAGAGGTTTATGGCCTACAGGGTTTTAGGGTTTAGGGTTTAGGGTTTAGGACACCAAAGTCCCTACAAGGCCGGAAGCCCTTCTCACCTTTAGACTCAGGTGGCTCCAATCTATTATTGGGCCATCGGCGAAGACTGCTGCGAGGCGTTGGGGGCCTCAGCCGTGGTCTGCGGCATAGGATTTCCAGGGTCCAGGCCTTAGAGCTTAGCGTAATTGTCGGCAAGGTAGGGTTTAGGGTTTCGGGTCTAGGCCTATAAGGCTACAGGGTTTTGGGTTTCAGAGGTTCGGGTTCATGGGGTTGTGAGTCTAGCGTTTCGCTTTTGGAGTGCAGGATGTAGAGTGCGGATTTTATGGGTAGGGGTTGTCCCTGGCCCCCAAAGAGCACCTTGTAAGGGTGTCGCCTTTAGCCACACAAGGGTTTGGGGTTTAGGGTTTAGGATTTAGGGTTAGGAGTTAGGGTTTAGGGCGGGCATCCTCCTAAACCCCACACACCCCAACCCTGACCCGGAATACCTCTCAAACCCTAAAACCCTCGAAACCCCGAAACCCCAACTACCCCGAAGCCCCGAAAGCCCGAAGCCCCAACTACCCCGAAACCAAAACTACCCCAAAACCCCAACTACCCCGAAACCCCGACACCCCGAAACCCCGAAGCCCCGAAACCCCGAAACCCCGAAACCCCGAAACCCCGAAACCCAACCCTAAGACCTCGATCAAACCCCCAAAGCCCCTAAACCCCCAAACCCCACCGAAACAACCTCGATTTAAACCCCCAAAGCCCCCCGCCAAAACCCTCAGGTTGGAGCTCAGTGGTCTGCTTAGGGATGCTTGTGAAGTTTAGGGTTCAGGGCTTAGGGAATAGTATTTGTCGGTACGATGATTCCTAAGAGAAGGCAGCAAAATTACACTTTCTGCTAGGGTCCCAAGTTCAGTGTAGCCCTAAACCCTAAACCCTAAACCCTAAACCCTAAACCCTAAACCCTAAACCCTAATCCCTAATCCCTAATCCCTAATCCCTAAACCCTAAACCCTAAACCCTAAACCCTAAACCCTGGCTGTTTTTTTGCCAAGGCGTGCTGCCTTCCAGTGTGGTGATGCCCAGGCAGACTTGAGGGGTTCAGGGGGTTTTTAGGGTCTTTTTAGGAGTTGTCGGCGGCATTCGTTAGGGCTTTTAAGCCCTGAGCCCTAAGCCCTAAACCCTAAACCCTAAACCCTAAACCCTACACCCTAAACCCTAAACCCTAAGCCCTAAACCCTAGACCCTAGACCCTAAACCCTAAACCCTACACGCAGGACCCCTCCACACGATCCGGCCTCGTTGCCTTGAACCCATCGGACATCGTCAGGCGCCGGATCAGGAAGTAGCCAAGTGGTTTAAGGGGTATAGGGTTTAGGGTTTGGGGTTTAGGGTTTCGGGTGTAGGGTTTAGGGTTTGGGAAAATATAACGGTTCTTCAAAACGCGTCCTCAAACCCAAAAATACAACATAGGTAGAGTGCCATGACTAAGAGCTTCAAGGGGTTTAGGGTTTAAGGGGTTTAGGGTTGGGATGTCCCCGGTCCTACTCGCAGTCCTTAAAAGGGATTGTCTTACCCCCTCTTATAACCAACAAGTCTATAATCCCTAGTAAGGATTGTTTGTTTTAGGGGGAACATCCCAACGTTTGGGGTTGACAGGTTTGGGGTTTGGGGCTTAGGGTCTAGGTTGACGACACTTAGAGTTCTTGGGTCTTGGGTTTTAGGTGTGTTGGGC